TACTGCAAAATTCAGGGACCTTTAAATCTCTTCCAAGGTCGTTGAGTAGTTCACATTCCAGGAGATAGTGAAGTAGTGGCTTTTCTGTGATTGTTTGGCAGATGATGCACTCTCTCTGTCGGGGTTCACCAATCTCCCAGTTGCATCTGTAACCTAGACGTAGTCTATATAACCTAACTGCTGCTTCCCTGTGGATTCCTTTCGTGATATTTAGGCTGCTTAAGTGGGTGGCCTGAAGATACCATATTGCAGAGGGCAAACCTGCTACGCTGTTGTTGAGGTGTGCGAGTTTTTTGGTCATGGTGTTTTTTATGTACTCTTGGCTGGGTTGGATTATTTTATGTATCACTGGATGACGAGTTGCCAGTTTAGCAATTTCATCGGCTCTCTCATTTAGTGGGATTCCAACATGGGATGGGATCCAGTTTAGGGTGATGTTGAGTCTTTTGCCTTTAGCAACTGTGCCAAGATACAAAATGGTGGTAATTATTTCCACGCTGTCTTTCCACTGCTTTTTTCCTAATGTTTGAAGTGCAGCTTTTGAATCTTTGTGTATTATTGCATTTCGAGTGTTTTGTGCAATCACACATGCGAATGCCTGTTGAGACCAATGCCAAACTGAGCAAACAGCTCAGTTTGGGTTGATGATACTGGTCCTCCCAGTCTCCAATAGTTCGCTGGCCGTGCAAGGAGCAGCGCCAGCACACTCATATTCTGTGTCCACCGATCCGTCTGTGAAGATGTGGGTGGCTACTGCAATGCTGCTCATTGGCTTTTCTATGGTGCGTCTTAGGATTGTTGGATCATAGGCAGACTTTTTCATCGGAAGACTTTCTATTACTATTTTAATGGTAGGCTCCTCCTACAGTGGGGGAACAAGTGTAGTTTGGGTGTGGTTGATCAGCTCCTCCATGAAGAATCATACTTTTTAATTGTAGTCTGTTTTAGGCTGCCAGAGCGGGAAGTGTCCTAGAGTTTCCGTTGTTTTGTCCAAGTTCATCCACCAAGGCCTGTACTGCTGGGACTAGATTAAGGGAAACAATTATCTTACATATAATCGTAGCTGTTCGTTGAGATATTCTTTCTTGAGAGGGCAACGTCGTTTCCAAGTCTTAGAGTTTAAAGCCAGGACCACACAGGGGGCTCCCAGGGCAGCACTCATAGCATTGTTTTGGGCTACTGCAAGCTTTTTCCACTGTTGTTGTGATAGGTTTGTGATTGCAGGTGCTGTAGTCGCTCACTGATCTGTCTGTGTACCTAGTATGTGTGATGAACTTTCCGATTGGCTCCTCCCGAGAGGGAGGTTAGCGACCTGTGGAATGCCGTTCTTGTCGCAGTTCTCTCTCGCAAGTGACGTCAGCATTAAAATTTGTGTGTCCAGGATTATTCCAAGATACTGGTAAGTGTCCACCCAATCAATTGGTTGACCCTGTACTGTGAGTTGGTTGTTGGGCTTCACTATTTTTATGGACATTGCTTTTGTCTTGGTGGGAATGAGTTGATTCCAATCTCCTTTGCCTCTTCAATGATGCCATCATCATCACTATCAACATTACCACACCCAGCACCACCAATGTCACCATCACCCCCTCCAATCACACCACTACCATCACAGCGCCCTCCCCCCCCCCCACTCTCACAACCACAGGTAGCCCCCCTAACACGTCCTTATCACTTCTCATTTTCACTCGATAAAAGAGAAGTATGAGAGGAGCTGTGCCTCGGAGTTCAGCGCCGGAGTGTGTTCGTCAATATTATCAACGTTGAAATAAATCGTTTTAAGCCAGAGTGATGAGACACGGATACATGATGAGCCAGATGCATAGATGTTGTAACTCTCATGGAAATACAAGCTGTGAAAAATGTGATCAGCAATTTATTTTTTTTCCCCACTCGTTCGAATCTCGTATATAGCTCTACCTCTTGAACAGCTACGCCGATTTGAATGAAATTAAATTCGCTGCCTCACCGTACCAATGGTAAGATGCTATAACGAGACTTCTCGGTGAATATTGTGAACGTTAGTAAGTTAATGTACTTTTTTGTACGGCTTTTTAATAAACGTTTGTCGTAATTTGTGCAGACTCTTGCAAGGTTGATCACTATCATAGGTCACCCTAAGGCCGTGGAAGATCCTCGCACGACCTTTCACCTTCCTCTCTATCGTCTTCTCTCCACACTCTCCCTCCCACCAACGTCTCCTTTCCCTCCTCAGCCTCTTCCGTCACACCACGGACTAAAGAAATGATAAAAGGCGATTGCTTAAAGCCGTCATTAATAAGGAACCAATGTACGTCACCTGCAAGTGTGACTAATACGGGAGGGAAGGGAGGTGGAAGGGGAGGTGGGAGGAGGTGGAAGGGGAGGTGGTGGTAAGAATAATTGATGGGGATAGAGAAAGGGAGGGGTAATGAAAAGATGGTGGGTGGGAGGGGGATTGGAGGTGATTGTAGGGGTTATGGGAGGGATGGATAGATGCGGAGGGAAGGAGAGATGATATGGAGGGGAATACGATGCGAGGTGTGAGTGGAGATAACGGGAGGTGGGAAAGGGGACCGGAGATGGGACGGGAGGTGGGAAAGGGGACGGGAGATGGGACGGGGGATGGGAGAGGGGACGGGGGATCTTCTTGAGGTTATCTTGAGATGATTTCGGGGCTTTAGTGTCCCTGCGGCCCGGTCCTCGACCAGGCCTCCACCCCCAGGAAGCAGCCCGTGACAGCTGACTAACACCCAGGTACCTATTTTACTGCTACGTAACAGGGACAGAGTGAAAGAAACTCTGCCCATTATTTCTCGCCGGCGCCCGGGATCGAACCCGGGACCACAAGTCCAGCGTGCTGTCCGCTCGGCCGACCGGCCCCCGGGATGGGAGAGGGGACGGGGGATGGGACGGGGGATGGGACGGGGGACGGGACGGGGGACGGGACGGAGGACGGGAGAGGGGACGGGGAACGGGAGAGGGGACGGGGAACGGGAGAGGGGACGGGGGATGGGACGGGAGAGGGGACGGGGACGGGAGAGGGGACGGGGGACGGGAGAGGGGCAGGGGACGGGAGAGGGGACGGGGGACGGGAGAGGGGACAGGGGATGGGACGGGAGAGGGGACGGGGGATTGGACGGGAGAGGGGACGGGGGACGGGACAGGGGACGGGACAGGGGACAGGAGAGGGGACGGGAGAGAGGACAGGGGACGGGAGAGGGGACGGAGGACGGGAGAGGGGACGGGACGGGGGACGGGACGGGGGACGGGACGGGGGACGGGACGGGAGAGGGGACGGGACGGGGGACGGGACGGGAGAGGGGACGGGACGGTTGAGGGGACGGGGGATGGGGACGGGAGAGGGGATGGGGACGGGAGAGGGGACGGGGGATGGGAGAGGGGACGGGGGAAGGGAAGGGGAAGGGGAATGGGAGAGGGGACGGGGGACGGGAGAGGGGACGGGGAACGGGAGAGGGGACGGGAGAGGGGACGGGGGATGGGAGAGGAGACGGGAGAAGGGACGGGGGGACGGGAGAAGGGACGGGGGGACGGGAGAAGGGACGGGGGACGGGAGAGGAGACGGAAGAAGGGACGGGGGACGGGAGAAGGGATGGGGGACGTGAGAAGGGATGGGGGACGGGAGAGGGGACGGGAGAGGGGACGGGGGACGGGAGAGGGGACGGGGGACGGGAGAGGGGACGGGGGACGGGAGAGGGGACGGGGGACGGGAGGAGAATCGTTAAAGCCATCTTGAAATGCTGCGAATATTGATTATTTTATGGGTTAATATTGCTTCGTTGGTCATCATGTGTCAGGACTCTTTCCCTCCCGTGTTCCCTCCACTGTTCCCTCCCGTGTTCCCTCCCGTGTTCCCTCCCGTGTACCCTCCCGTGTACCCTCCCGTGTTCCCTCCCGTGTTCCCTCCCGTGTTCCCTCCCGTGTTCCCTCCCGTGTTCCCTCCCGTGTTCCCTCCCGTGTTCCCTCCCGTGTTCCCTCCCGTGTTCCCTCCACTGTTCCCTCCACTGTTCCCTCCACTGTTCCCTCCACTGTTCCCTCCACTGTTCCCTCCACTGTTCCCTCCACTGTTCCCTCCACTGTTCCCTCCACTGTTCCCTCCACTGTTCCCTCCACTGTTCCCTCCACTGATCCCTCCACTGTTCCCTCCACTGGTCCCTCCACTGTTCCCTCCACTGTTCCCTCCCTTGTTCCCTCCCGTGTTCCCTCCCGTGTTCCCTCCCGTGTTCCCTCCAGTGTTCCCTCCCGTGTTCCCTCCCGTGTTCCCTCCCGTGTTCCCTCCCGTGTTCCCTCCCGTGTTCCCTCCCGTGTTCCCTCCCGTGTTCCCTCCAGTGTTCCCTCCCGTGTTCCCTCCCGTGATCCCTCCCGTGTTCCCTCCCGTGTTCCCTCCCGTGTTCCCTTCCCCTCCTCTTTTGCCATGTTCCCTTCTTCCTTTTCCAATTTCCGCCCACCCAACCTCTGTTCCTGTGTACCCTCTTTACCTGTCTCCCCTCCCTTGCCGTTCCCTTCCTACCTCCCTCCCTCCCTTCTTCCCACCCTCCATGTCCCGTTATCCTCCCTTCCATTATGTCCCCTCCACCCTCCCCTTACTTTATTTCCCTGAGAAAACTCCCTCACATCCTTCCCCGACGGATATTCCCTAAGCCTACCCCGATGGGTAACCCTCACTATTCCCCTTCCTGCTTACACCAAACTTATTTCCTTCTTCCCTACCTCATTTCCTCCCTCCATACGCACTCCGCATGTATTCTTCCCCCCCCCCCTCTCTCTCTCCTCCATACGCAGTCCCAGGGGACTATCCCTTTACTATCCAGTGATACTAAAGTCTTACAGAAACATTCCCGCGCCCTCAGACGCCCCACAGGACAATTATCAGCTTGATCCAGGATTGGAGACTTGGTATACAAGGATCCAGGATTTCAATCCCACACACCTCCGACCCCTGCTCTTAAACAGAAAGCCTATATACGTATAATATACGTATATAGAAAACCCTCATTTACATTGTCGTACCTCAAGATTCAGGCGCCAGGCAGCGTCATGGCCGTTCAAGGGGACTGTGATGGTAACATTAATGATGTCGGCGTGTGTTATATCCTGCATATGTTGTTGCAGGTTATGTGAGTGTGACATGTTGGGTCTAGGCCTCAGGGTGGTGCTGGTTTCATGACGATTAAAATTATATGGTTCGTCAGCAGGCTGTGGTTTTGGCGACGGCCGCAGACTGCTCCTTTCAAGCAGGGCGGCGGGGGGTCCCCCCTCCAAGCAGGGCGGCGGGGGGCCCCGCCTCCAAGCAGGGCGGCGGTGGGGCCCCCCCCCTCCAAGCAGGGCGGCGGGGGGTCCCCCCCCCAAGCAGGGCGGCGGGGGGTCCCCCCTCCAAGCAGGGCGGCGGGGGGTCCCCCCTCCAAGCAGGGCGGCGGGGGGCCCCCCTCCAAGCAGGGCGGCGGGCCCCCTTCCCCTCCAAGCAGGGCTGTGGGCCCCCCTCCAAGCAGGGCTGCGGGGGGGCCCCCCTCCAAGCAGGGCTGTGCAAGGAGCGATCTTCGGTGGCCTCAGAGTTTCTGGTCAGTATTGGAGCTGGTCACCGGGTGGGCCATAGAGGTGATCCTCCAATCCTCGTCTGCCCAAATATAGACTTTATGAACACAAAATTCTTTAGCTTCCGTTTTCTTTTTCACGGATGGCGGGAGCTCAATTCCCTCGCGTGATTGGCTGAAGAAAACCTGACCGCTGCATCTCTGATTGGCGGAACTAATAAGTTTGTTTTCGCGCTCCACCAATCAGAAGCCTCTTTCATACCGCCAAGATCTTTGCCATTGGTGGACACCAAAAAATAGCACTCTTCATGCCAGCTGGTGTTATTGTTTTGGAGAGAAGAATCTCTTCTTTAGTCACGTGGTCCAGCGTGATGAACCCTTCAGATATATTTCCCAGCTCGAGGATTTTATTTATTGTAACCAAAAATTTCCACGGTTAAATTATATAATTATATATATATATATATACCTAAAAGGGGTACCACCTCTGGTGCATGTATAGGGACCCATAGCCTCGGAGAAGAAAATAAAAGTACTCAGGAAAGACCTTGTGGATCCTCACTGAACCCTTTGATATTTTCTCCTACCACTCCTATTTTTTTAGTATGTGTGTATATATAACATTTTAAAATTTCATTACATAAAGAGGGTTACAACATTGGTTACATGCAGGGTACAAGGCTTCTTGTCACAAGTTGTAGAGCTCCTCCAGCTCCTCAGATGGCGGGCAGGAACCATGGATGCAGTGAGCATTTCCTCTCTGGATCGCCACACTAAGGCGCTGAAAGATAAAACTGGCGACTCTTGCGACTCTAGTTGTTTCAATTAGCTTGGACCCCAACTCCTTCAAAAAACTTGCAGCACTTTTACCCAAGGCACCAAGTGTGTCTGAGGCAATGGGGACAAAATTGTAGTGGTGCTCAAGGTCTCCGTATTTACGTGACTTGGCTGCTTCCCGGTGATTGGCGGCACCTCCTGCTTGTGTAGCACTGAAGTTAACATAGGTGTTGGCTAAAGTTGAAACGCAAGCGTAGTCCCACATCAACTGTCTTCCACTCTTCCAGGGGTTCTTTCTGTCGGCCTCTGCCTCGCCGCAAATACACCTGTATTCGGTGTAGATTGGGGCAGCGAGGCGGAGAGCCTCATCTATTCGGAGGGCTTGCGGTGTGAGACGAGTGCCAGTTGCTGACATTGGGGTTGCTAATAGGAAGTTTCCTGCATGGGGAGCTGCTACAGCTCTATGTCGGGCAGTGTCATGTGGTGTTGTTGCAGCTTCTAGTAATGTCGCAGCTTCTTGGTCGGCAATGGGGTGATCCTAGCTAGATTGCTTATGGGCTTCAGAAAGCAGTGGTTGGAGTGCTGGTCCTGCGAGAGAGACCCATTTGTTGGTGCAGTCTGTAAAGCTGGGACCATGTATCCTCCCCGTTGAACTAGGTGCTCAGAAAGGATTTCATTCACCAAGTTGACAGACGCCACTGAAGAGGACAGGAACGCTGGTACCGCAATTTGTGTTGCTGTGCGCACGCTGAGGCCCCCCGTAGTCTGACAGGAAGGGAGGCCTGTTTCCACCGAGTCGCTGAAAGAAAGGTCGAGGACTTTTTCTAGCATTGATTTCAGCAAAGTGTCGTAGTCTTCTAATTTAATATTATTGACAGATGGCGAACATCTAAGAAAGTAGGTCAGCCTGGGGAGGGACAAGAATCTGGTGATGAGGTAAAGTGCATCATGAGCATCGATGTCTTCAATCCTCTCGTTCATCCTCTTCAGGAAAGAGATCTTCTTACCAAGGACCTCGTCGATGGCACTCTCTCAAAGAGGAGCACCTAGATGTGTGCTGTCCTCAGGGTTGGTTGAATGAATATCAGGCAAAACAACCTTTATTTGCTCTATTATGTGCTGGCTGGTGGAGGTTATTTCGCACTTGGAAGAGTTCAGGGTGAGGCCTAGGCTTGCTCCTTGCTCCTGAATTATTCTTATGTCGTCCAAGAGTGAGTCTGGGGAGCCGGCTAGAGTACCATCGTCCAAAAACCAAATGTATAGCTCACTGGACAGGTTATCGGTAACTTCCTTGATGACTAGGCAGAAAAAAAAGGAGCAAGAGGATCACCCTGTTGGACACCTTATGATTCAATTTCATGTTCCCCGGATAGCAAAGTGAGATTCTTGCTGTAGCATGAGTTTACAACCGGGTAGAGGGAAGGAAAAAGGCGATGAACTGCACCGAGTACTGCATTCCTTGTAACCAGATTGAAAGCATTTTTGAAGTCCAGTTTTATCAGGGCTTTTTCTTCTGTAATGTTGGCAATGTAGGCTCTAGCTGCATGAGCCGTTGCCTCACACCCTTAGGGAATGCCAAACCTAAGCTGTTTTGGCTTCAGCATGTCTGCTGCTGCCTGACTAACTGTTCTGGCAACAGCCTTAGCGACGAGGCGCCGGAGTGAATTGCCCACAGCTATCGGTCTGATTCCTCCGTCTTTTTTCCTCAGGACACAGAGTGAAGGGTCAAAAAAGATAGGCCGTATGGTCTCTGGTATGTTGTCAGCTAGACATGTGTTGGAGAATCTAGTTAGTTCCAACAGGAGGCCCTGTGCAATGTCTCCCAGTGCAAGGTTGAGCATTTGTTTGATGTGGTTGAGTCTTAGTCCTGTGAATCCACCTGCTGATCCTGGTGGGAAGGATAAAGCTACTCTATGCACCATGGATTCGAGGACACACAGGGGTTCTGCTCTGGTGACACCGACTAGAGGAACACTGTCATCACGTGGAGCTCTGAGTGGGTGTTTTTCTTCCAGGGCTTGTGCTGTATCGGCGTCTCTGGTGGCGACAGTGTCCTCGCTGGTGATGACTCTGATCGCCCCTATTGTGTTGCCGTCTATTTTCTTGTTGTTTCTATAATAATTATATATATATATAATTATTATTATTATTATTATTATTTTATATATATATATATATATATATATATATATATATATATATATATATATATATATATATATATATATATATATATATATATATATATATATATATATATATATATATTTTTTATTTATATTTATATTTATTGGTAGCAGTCTTTCTTGTAAACGTATGTTGCTGAATATGACCAAAAGGGTAAGATTAATAATTCTAACACGAGTCTTCTCAATATTTCTTACGTTTTTCTTAACTATCGAGGGTAATTGAAAAATTAAATGTCCAAAATTTATTCTTTTATTTTTGGTCTGACACTTGAACGCGTTTTGTAATGCTTATTACATTTTCAAAGACTAGTTTACACATTTCGTGATCTGTGCCAGGTAAGTATTTACAGTTTACACATAACATACATCATACATATACACGTTTTGGGTGAGGTGATATGGCACAAAAGGTTTGGGTAAGGTGACAGAACTATGCTAGAACACGAATAAATGGGTATGAAAACATAAGAATGGAAGTAACTGTAGAAGGCCTATTGGCCCAATAGTATTACCTAAGTATTACCAATAGTATTACAACCTAAGTATTATACTTATGTTTCTCAAGTACTTAAGTGCTCAACTGGGTTGATGATTACATTTGCCTGACAGACGTAGGAATAACATTGTTGCTCACAGAGCTGGTGTACTGGGTTAATTCAATATTAGTATTCCCTCCTACATAACCCAACCTATCAATTAATGTTTTAAAATTGACTTAATCAAGAACCCACACACATTCCCCACCAATCAGGGCCTGTCACTAGAAAGTACTTAAGTGAATGGTCCCTGCATGAATATAAAACAGAACCCTATTGAGCCTGGTTTCTTGTAGTGCCCATTAAAAACCCAGGGTCATAACATTAGCAACTTTAGTAATTAGAGCTCTTAATGAATTCAAAATAGATGACAACCTGGTCCACCTTTCCCCTTGTGCCAGCCGCAGGACGACCAACAATAGCTCACCTGAGAACCACAAAATGAGAGCACAGATCACCAGGAAAATAGAAGAGGACAATACCACAGGTGCCATCAGAATCATGACCAGCGATGACACCATTGCCCCGAAGAACGCCACGACAGCACGAGCTCTACAAGACAAACACCCACATAGAGCTCCAGACAGTAGCAGGGATCCCCAGGAAAACAATACTTGCAAAAAACCCTTGACTTCGAGACTCTGAGGTGTACAAAGCAGCCATATTCTTTCCAACAGGTTCATCGGGGGTCTTTACAGGCCTCAGACCCCAGCACGTCAAACAAATGCCGAACCTGCGCTTGGAAATGCGGCAAAGGCCCTTCTAGGTGAGCTTATCAGATTCTCCAACATGTATTTGTCTGGTGGCACCCCCCTGAGGAAATCAGGCCTCTCTTTTATGGAACAACACTGTGCTCTGAAGAAGGATGGGGAAATCAGGCCCTTTGCCGTTGGCAACACCCTCCGACGCCTCGTAGCTAAGGCTACAGTGAGATCTATCAGCCAGGAAGCAGCCACCTTGCTGAAACCTAATCAGCTCGGGTTTGGGATCCCCCTAGGTTGTGAAGCTGCAGCACACGCAGCTCGTGATTACATTGCTGATCTCTCGAACCAGAAGACACTAGTAAAGCTTGACTTTAAAAATGCCTTCACTCAAGT